GGAAACTGGCTCCCACACTCCTCCATGTGACCTTGAGAGAACTGGGTTCACCAGAGTGGACAACTCATTCCAGTTGCCCAGAACTGTCCCAGTTTTAAAATGCAAGCTCTTCATACTGGTAACGCCTCTCAATCCCAGGCAAACTGGGATGGCTGCTCACCCTAAGAGTTACCCATCTTAGAAGAAATGAAGAGAGATTTATCACAGAGTATTAGATATTAACTCGTCTGACACTTCACTTTCTCCAGGGGGACACTAAGATCTTGAGTGCTGCAGCCAGTTTCCAATGTGCTGGGGGGTTTTCTCCACCCCATCAAGCAATTCTCCAACGCCAGCTGGATGTCCTACCATTCAACTCAATCCGGACACTCTGGGCATCTCTATTACCAGAATATAGTATTAGATTCCACAGGCTGAGGGCTCAGTCCCACAGGTGCCTTCCACTTCAGATGCCAATCACAAATCCAAGCTGTTAGGTGTGTTTCTGAAATACTGGCTACAGATCAGAGGTTCCCATGATCCCCTCTTTGGGTTCAACTTGCTAGAGCAGCTTATAGAACTCAGGAAACCAATTTACTCACTAGATTACTGGTTTATTACAAAGGATCTTAAAGGACACAAATCAACAGCCAGATGAAGAGATACATAGGATGAAGTCCCGAAGGCGGGAGCTTCTGTCCTCGTGGAGTTTGGGGCTCCGCTCAGCAGCACATGGAACTGTTCTGGTTCACCGGACGTGGAAGCTCTCGAAACCCTGTCCTTTTGGGTTTCTATAGAGGCTTCAAGACATAGGCATGATTGATTAATTCACTGACCATTGGTGATCGATTTAACCACCAGCACTCTCCCCTCCCCGGAAATCAAGGAGTGGGGCTGAAAGTTCCAACCCTCTATTCAAGGTTGGTTTCCCTGGCAACCAGCCTCCACCCTGAGGTGCTTTCCAAAAGTCACTTCATTAACACAAACCCAGTTGCAATGGAAAGGGGCTTGTTATGAATAACAAGACACCCATTTCAACGCATGGCTTTGAAGTGATTTCAAGAACTAAGGACAAGAGCCCAAATATTATGACAAAAGATCCCCCATCACCCTCATCACTCAGGAGCTGTGAGTCAGGAGACCATGGATGAAGACCAAATACATCTTTCTTAGTGTAGATCGCAATATCACAGATCTACAGGGGAAGTAACTTGCCCAGGGTCAAACCGTGAGATGGGGCAGAGCTGAGGCAAGAAGCCAGGTCTCCTGCTTCCCAATCCACGGCTTTTTCCTTCAAGACTCCACACTTTGGTGATAAGTTCAGCTCCTCCTTGGAGAGCAAGGGTCTTCACAATAGTCCAGGAAACAGTTACTTTGGAAACGACCACATGATTCCATTCCTTTTAGACCTCAATGAAGTGAGACTGTGGCCCCAAAGGAAGTGGTTAGAGCCTAGGAAGGGACAGACAAAAAGTGACCACCCATGTAACAAATAATCAAGACAAAATTCAGAGCAGAATGATCTGGGTCAAGCCCGAACGCTCTTATTCAAATTTCATAATAACGTTAGGCAGATCACTTAACTTCTCTGAGCTCGGCTTTCATATCTGTAAAATGGATATAAGCCAAAGGTTTCAAGTTCCAATCTTTCCCAATTTTTCTGCATTTTTTATTCCTCTGATGTTCAGATTGAATGGCTTGAGCTCCCAGACCCTAAATAATGAGAAATCAATCAGGGCTCTCCTCAGTAGTTCCTCACATTCTCCCTTCTCTCTATTAAGTCAGCAAACATTTCATTGAGCATCTATCTGCTATGTGCCAAGGACTTTCAAGCAGCAAACAAGACAAAGGACTCCTACAGGCATTCATAAGTCTCCCTGCTTTTCTCTCTCTTTCCGGGGCTACCTTAGGAAACCCAAATCTCTCCCATAGGATCAGGTAGAGTCATTCGGTGCTTCCTTCAACTCATCCCTGCCACCCAGGCTGTGCTCAGGGGGCTTTTTCTCTCTCAACCTCATCTCATCAAGGTGTCTCTTTAACAAGAAATCATCACTTGTCATGAAACCTGCCCCTCACTCTCCGAGAAGGCAAAAGTGAATGCAGAAAGTTTTGGTCTTAAATCGACACCACTACTTCCTAATCTGCTTGGGGTTTTTGGCAGCTCAAGTGAACTAATGTGAGGCTATGAGAGCGTTACAAAAATATGAAGCGACTTGTGTGTATACAGAGGCTTTCAGGCACTTTCCCAAATTCTAATGTTATAATTTCCCCATGTCCTGATGCTCTGTTCTCCCCCTTTCTTAACCTGCTGGGGAACTGCGGAGTTTGACCAGACGGAATAAATTGAACCTTATGGGAACACTTCTTTACAAAGAAGAACTCTTGTAGGAGTGGTGATTTGGAGAAACGTGACTCTCGGCCCCAGACGTATGATGAGTTAGGCGAGTTATGGCTTCCAAACAAGACACAAACTCTTCCAAATACTGCAGGGGCTGAACTTACATCAGCCCCTGACTCCTGCGTGAGGGAGGCCCGTCAAAATCCTCAAGAGAAAGACAGCGAATCCCTTTTTCAAAGGGAGCCCTGTGTTCTGTTTCTCTTGACACGCAATGATAGTTTCGATGGCAATTTGAAAAGGCAGAGACCAAAGGGAACTCCAGGGACTGCCTTGGCTTTGGACCTCATTAAATAGCTCCGATTTCTTTCCTCTTTGCTTAAGTAGATAATACTATTGCCAATAAATACAGCCCAGTGTGTCCTCTGCCAAAAACGGGACTAGACAGTATTTGTAATAAAGTAAAACATTATGTTTAGGAATAGATTTTTTTTTTTATATTTCACAGAAAATGAGAGTCCACAGAGTGCAGGAAACTGCCTCCAGCCATGAGAGATGTGAAGACCAGGACAACAAAGTTATTGAGAAGAGGTAGTTCGGAGCAGAAGGAAACAGCCACACCAAGAGCAAGTAGCCAGAAGGATGAAGGAACGGCGGAGTTGGTAAACATGAGGTCTCCGGCATTGCTGCGGGAGGGAGCAGCCTTGAAACTGACCTGTGGAAGAATCTTTGGAAGGGTCTGACAAGAAGAAAAGCCCAATACATTGAGCTCCTTCTTCAAAATAAATAATTCGTTTCTATCTTATTTAACAATCCCAATCAAGACCAAGATTTGGGTTCATGTGCTTAATTTTCCTACTCCCCCAAATTTTAATGGAGATGACTCCCCCCCCAAAAAATGCTTTAATCTGCGGAATACCACATGAGCAGTAGCACTTTAGGAAAGGTGAGCTCTTAGCAGCATTCCATGCAGGTAATCACGCCTTTATATGCTGGAGAGCCACAGGGCTCAGTCCGAGGACCTCCCACCACTGAGACTCCTCCCTGGCGGCAGCTGTCCAGCCCTAGGGCTCTATAGGTGATGCATTCGTTGTCCCAGATGGATCCCCTGTCTGCCTGGACTGCCATCCCTGCTTCCAGCCTTGTGCCCCTTCTTTCCCCTCTACACACAGCTACTCCTTCTAAAACCCAAGTCAGAGCATCTCCCTTGCCTCCTCAAACTCAGCAATGGCTCGCATCCTGCTCAGGGTAAAAGACAACACTCCTTATGAGAGTCTACGGGGCCTCACCTGATTTGACCCTGGCTACCTCTCTGATCTAATCCCCTGCTCTGCCTCCCCGTCTCCCTCCACCCCAGCCACACTGACTGTTCTGATGTTCCTGGAACAAGCCAAGCGTTCAGGACCTTTGCCCACGCTGTGCCCTCGGCCTACAACACTCTTATCCCGGATACTCATATTCATTATGCCTTCATTTCCTTCTGGCCTCTGCTCCAATGTCACTTCATCACAAAAGCCTTCCAAGGTCCCCAATTCAAATATCATTCCCTTATGACCCCCATGCTCTATCTCTTCAACCTGATTTGATTTCTCCCCACTTAATGCATTCTTATCTAGCAGTGTACTACATATTTGTGTGTTAGTTTGCTGTCTGCCTTTCCCTGTAGAATTTAAGTTCTGTGTACTGTGTCTCCAACCCTTGGAACCCTGCCTGGGCACACGGTAAGCGCTCAATAAATATTTATGAATGAACAAGTGAATGAGTCAATTAATTTACATGCCAATGATTTCCTCTTTTTTTTTTTTTTTTTTTTTTTTGCAATCTACAGCAGAGATAGGGCTGGATTGTGTGGAACGTGTGAAAAAGCAC